ATACACACGAAATATGTAAATACAAACTCTAGGAAATTTTCTAAACTGCAAGCGCAGAGTAAATTTTTAGGATTTTTCATTTTAAAACGAAGTATAGAGCCATTAGTAATGAACTAGTAATGCAAATGAGAGCTTAATAAAGTTATGAAATATGTAATTATTCTGAATTTTAAATCAAAGCCATTCATCATCCAAGTTGTAAAGTGCATAACGTCAGCGGATATTCAAGACAAAAATACATGAAAATTGACAGTCTGATAAAAAAAACAGGCAACCAACAGCTATAGCAGTATGTTTTAGTGAACAAGCACTGAATAATAATCATTCTTTTGAAATGCTTTCAAGGATAAGTGATAGTGATAAATGTATCAAGTGAGCACGACGTGCGTGGATGAGATTAGAACAAATCTTTGCAAAAAAAATCTGCTGTAAAAGCGGCCGACATTGTGTGTAGGCCATTGTACATGAACTCCCAAGAGATTTCACTTTGGTGATATATCGGGGCAATCTAGGCACAAGTTTTCTAAAAAAATGCCATCGTATCATCGTACCTAAATGCAGAAATATCCTTCCTAAGGGAAATTCATACCTCATTTGGAAAAGCAATGCATTAAAAGAACATAAATACTTTTAACATTTTCTCAGACTTCTAAATTAATGAAACTTCCAGAACTAGACAGTTTAAACTTCTTACGTCTTGTTTTGCGCTTGGACAGTGGCATTTATTTCTTGTAAAACATGAAAAGTTTTGCTCTATAAAATAAAATCAGTATATTTTATTAATAATTAGTAGCAATTTATTAAAAATAAGGGTGTTGTTTCCATAGTATTTATAAATCAAAAATGGAAATGACACATACATGCAGTGACGGTCTAATCTATAATGGGGTAAATAAGTAATCCTACTTGAGCGTAGATGGGAGAACCAATTTATTTTAATCCTTCCACGTAATTCTCGGCAATTATAGCATATTATGTATTAAAAATGGGACTTATGTAATAAACGCAAGCAAATTTACGATTTTTCTAAACAAATATACATATATAGTATGCTTAGACAACAGGAGGTTATTGCCGTTTGTACAAACACATATTTTAGTCAATATAATTGTGGTTAAAAGCTGAATGAAGGCAGTATTACCTAATTTTTTAATCGGTCACTCGTCAAAGATGTATCGTGAAAATTGAATTTAATTTTACTTACATTACGGCATTTAAAGTATTGTGGGATTACCCGATCTTCCGAACACCATCTACTAACGAACTAGTCTAATAGTAAGGAAAATGCAATTTTTGCAACTGAAGCAAAGCTATGATTGAGCCGAATTCAATTAACCTGTAACTAGGCCATTATTAACTTTTTTGTACAATGAAATTAAATGCGTACTGTCGCAAATTAACTAACGTGTACAGTGAACGTATATTCTGTAAATTATTAAACAGTTCACGTTTTTACAATTCTCGCCTAGCGCAATGCACAACTCTGTATTTTAAAACTGGCGAGTTTTGCGAGCTTTTAAGTCGTCGCGTCACAGAATCTCATCCTGGCTGATCTGATGATCATCAAACAACAAAACACACATGGGTTTTTCCCAGACCATGCGTGCACGCGGATTCGAAAGTGGCCAAAGTAGCCAAAGAGCAAAATTTTGAAAAAAATACTCATTCACAAAATGAAGTTCCCATATCATACACCGAAATCATGGTAACCTCATGAATAAACCAAAATTAAAAATTGGCTGTTTCCTTGCAGCTAAAGAAGATAATGGATATGCATTAAGTCGCCATTTATTCCATAAGAATTATTTATTATTACTAAAGAGGCATTAAACGAAGTATACAGGATGGCAAGTGGAAAGGAAGTGGTAATTTTGTTTTCAATAAGGTTAAAGGCATAATAGTCCCTTAATTTAGAGTGCCCGTTCACCTTGTTCGCCATTCATTATTGCACCTTGCTAGGCATTTTCTTGTTATCAAGAATAAATGGGGGAAGTTGGAAAGGTGACAAATAAAAAGTAATCTCTTAATTAAACTTATTGAAGCCATAATGAAGGGTTCCGGAAAACACCCACCATTAATAGAAACTATAAAAAACATTTTCACTCGGCGTTGTCTGATTATTTCTGACAAATACAGCAAACAGTTCCCTGGTAAAATATAGTGGAAATATGACGTTTTCTATAAGGAAAATGACTATTACCATAATTTCCGTTGGCACCGAGTGGAAGCATTCAACGGAATTGTAATTGCGTTTAGGAGCAATTCAAAGGCCAAACAAAGACGGGCATTTGTTAGCTATCTTCGCATAGGGCGATACCATTGATTCTTGCTAGTACATGTTTTGTCTGCATATCTTTGAAGGGTCAACTTTGTGAACTATATTTGGAGTAGAACCAGCGGCGGCGTGTGGTTTAACACTTTGGCTAGACAATCTTAGAAAACGTCCACCAAAAAACGGCATGTGCACTTCTTAAATATGTACATCAGCCAGCCTCCAGACCACCTGGAGGTACAATGTGTGGGCGGCACAGGTTCAACCCTCATTAATTAAACCTCCTCCAGTTCCTCCCTCAGACATATTAATGTCTTCGGTTCCGTCAATTAGATTTACTATTCACCTGGGCGGCGAGCAAAGTGATTAGGCGACGAGATGGATTTCATGAAACAAAATCCACAACTCTTGCTTGGAATTATCGAAGTTAAACATGTTTTTGACTATCAGACCTGCTGAGATGGCAGCTTGGAACAACAATTTTGATAAATACATGAAAAGAGCATAGTCTAACCCAGCTGTTGAAACCAAACAGTTTTCAGTTGAGCATTCCAAATATCATCTTCTAAAACACATCTGTGTAGAAAGCATAACCAAACCAAATACGTTCTACTCAGTGATTATCGCAAACCATGGAAAGCTGGAGACATGTTGCATAGAAAACTTGTTTAACAAAGTTTCCAAGTCAATGGCAAGTATCGGCGCAATTCATTTTATCTATGAGAGCTTCCGACCCGGTTAAACTTTCTAGTTCAATTTCAAACTCCGTCCAAATCGGACTCTGATGATTTGGTGCTGAAAACCTATGCTTTTGCAAAGGTAATCAACTGTTTAGGGAGGCTTACTTTCGGCTTAATGTAAATTAAGTGGCCTTTCTCTAAACGTGAAATTTTCAAGTTTAAGATAACCCGCGTTCAAACTTCCAAAGTAAAAATTCCTTGTGAGATTTATTGTAAACCCCGTGTATTATCCCTGTTCCGCGACTGTAAGTCAAGTCTTTAAAACTTAAACTTAACGGGCTTTCTTGACAGACCATCGATTTTTATGAGAATAGAACTTTGAATTTTTAGTGAAGGATAATTTTCGTCGAATCTGGCAGAGAAAGACTCGTAATGCATATGGGTATAAACGAACGAAATTTACGCCCTCTAAACTTCAAAAATGATCGATTATCACAAATGAAAAGTTTATTCTAGGAAAGGTTGCCTAATATTTAATTATTTGAAGCAAATGTTGCTAAAACAATACTTCAAGTGACAGGAAATCCAGGAAAGATAATAAATTCGTTTAAACTCCAAAGAAGAAGGGATCGTTTGACGACATTAGCGGGCGAATCCGTTCCTCAACACGAAACATTCATAATATCCTTTATATTTTCTGCATTACGCTGCGATCGCATATAGGTACAATGATATTTAATGGCCTGAGCTCAGGTGAATTGTTACGCAAAAAATTCTTTATCGCTTTATGTTGGAAATTTTTGATGTACGTCTCGTAGAGAGGGCCTAAACTATTTCTAACTCATACTAGAAAAGCCCTTTTCACAACAAATTTAGCACAAAAGTTTCCTAATTACTCACGAAGTTAATAACATGAATTGTTTTCACCTCTTGTAGATATGTCGCTTCCGAGGACATAAATCGTTTTAAGTAATTATCTTATCTGGGAGCAGGGGCAAAGAAAGTGCATTAAAATCCGCGCTCATAATCTCGGAAAATTTATTTCACCTCAAATGCTAAGCTGGGACGACTACTAAGTATCTTTCAACTTATAAATTTGGAAATTAATTTTACGTGTCGACATTTTACACAATTCCGGCGGATATTTGGGGGTATTGTTAAAACGCAACAAAACTATTACAAATTACTCGATTCGTTAATTTTGAACGTTCGAAGAAGCACCAAATCAAATTGTAATTGATTTAGGACGACAACTTTCAATGATCACTTAAGTACGTGATCATCAATTATTTACTGATTATAAATTGTTTAATTTCTGTACTTTGCGTACTAGGCGTGAATAGGTATCTAGTGTAATAGAAAAATTACTTCAAGAATTATACACCTTAAACATGTTTTTACTTTTGGGAGTGCACCAATTATTGAGGAACCACTGATAAATCAAACTCAGCTTTACTGAAGAACGTTTTGTCATCAGTAAAATACCAAAACGCCTGTACATTCTTTAGTCCCTTGTTAAATTAAAACCAGTTAATCCACCACGTACAAGCTTAAATTATTCTTCATAATCCCCTGAGCTACCACACACACCGCTCTATAATGTCAGACTGTATTTAGATGCATATTTATACAACGATCTTCCGGCCATTTTTGAACAACTACTTCATAAAATCGCTTAATTGAAAATCGCATACTTTGACTTAGAGCATAATCTCAACAAAGAAAGTTAATATATGAGTGGTTTTCTCTGAACGTACTTTTCCTTAAAAAATCTGTAATTATTTTTACTGTTTATATCAATATGATGTTACAAATACAATTAGTTTGAAAATGGTGTAAGTCCACTTGTTGCCCCATTTCCGCTGGTAATATTGAGAAATTAGAATATTAAAAAAATCGCCAAGGCAGTCAAAATATTGCAAGGAAATTGAAATGGATTTGCAAAAACGCAATTTAGGAAAACGCCATTTTAGCACATCAAACACTTGCCATCCGACTCAATTATGTGCCAAGGATGCATTTAAATTGTAAAATAAAATGATACATACTCAATTTGTTTTCAGCTTCGATACGAGACCCGTCATAATTTTCTCGTATAATCGTAGAAAAGCACTCGCTGATACCTGAAAAAAACAAACTTAAATAATGCCTTTGATTTGAAATGGAATCATACGCGATTGCAATACTATCTATTGATTGTCCGATTTTATAAATTAACATACGTGGTTTGAAGTGATTTTAATAGCACCGCAAAAGTATACAGTGCATTACGTAATTGGCTTAAACGGATTAAATCTTTCTATCCTCTTGTTGCCTATTCATGGAAGCATTTGTTAACAAATACATTATCGTATAGTCCCTTTACATTCTACATTTTGTAACACAATTCGCGTCAAGCGGACTAATGCAATGCTTTGAATCTAAGTTGAGTGTAATCAATTTCATAAATAGATTATTGCATGTGAATAGAAAATATTGCATATTTAAAACAATGAGAGGGTAACGGAATATATAAAACTATGGCTACGGGAGAGCCGTATTTAGGGCACAGCTCAATTCCTGCTACTAGCAAAGATAATATTAAATTGTCATTTCAAATACCTACAGTTAGAGGGAGGATATTTATTCGTAAACTTAGCATTGAAGTTAAGCAAAAAAATTGTTTGTAACTTCAGTTAATTGCTACAATGTTCTGGTTCTGAAAGCAAATTATTCAGACTGCTAGTTGCAGTGATTATGCAAAATGCATTGTGTGACAAAGTACTCATTTTCATAAATCAGAATCTCAGCTAAATTCGCAAACAAAGCAAAATAATTCACGAAAATTCTCCCCAGGCCTTAAGACGAACTATAATTATTAGGGGTCGGTTCCCTTCAAGATTAGTTACCGCAAGCCTATTCTGCATGAATTTTCAGCTGCTAGGGTATGGTACTAAACCCTTTAACATGTAAATACATCTAAGAAATTAAACTCGTGAAGATCTGCTTTCTGTTGTTTTTCATTTTAAATAGAATAAATTTATATAAATACTTTTACGGTATTTGCTAAAATGTGTACCAAGTACGCCCGAGTTATGGAACAACGGAACCCATTATATGAGAAAATCCAGAAAAAATAATATAGGAAAACTACATGTTTTTTCTTCTCCCAATTTAGATTTAACATATCTTGCCATTTAATAATAAATTGCTGCTGATTGTAAAAAAGTAGTTTATTGTCATATGTTCTATTCCCAGTATGTTTTCGTTTTTTTTTTTGAAATTTCCAGTACGAACGGTTACCAATTAGGGCAAAGGCACCTAAAAACGATCCGCGTTGAATTTGATAACATTAGGCTCACCTGGCCCGCGAACACGATCTATTTGGAGTTTCTTAGTTGAGAACTTTGTACATTATAGAACCTGAGCTATTCCGCCGATATTTCGCATTATATTCAATATATTCGAAATTAACGAGGATACGAGAGACCTTAAGCTAAGTAATGTCTGTTAATTTTAGAAATATTACTTCATTTTGTGTGAACACTAAAAATGCAAATTCTGATTGAATATCGATTTTAGTTAATATTTCAAATAGACTTTCTCGAAACATGCAATTCATCGCAACCAGACCAACTATAACTAGGACAAGAAGCATCAAATAAATACAGCTTTCACATTCCGGCAAATGAAAACCATATCGAGCGGGATTCAGTAGAAAGATAAGAAATTGTTGCTTTTCTGTTGATTTGCTCGCTTTGGCAAAACTGCAGTTGCAACTAGATAAATATCGGAATTCACCCACAGACAACTGCATCTCAGTTAAAAAAATATTATTCTATGTTTGCTTCCTATAGGAGCAGGATTAGTGATGGTCACAAAGTCCGAAAACTGTTCCAGAATTAATTTAATAAAATGCCTAGCTGTGGAAACTCCTTAGTGGATAACCAAGTAAAAGCGATAAAGCCTTAGAGTGACTATGAAATGTGGAACAGCCAAACGTTGAGCACGAACGTGTTTAATAGGAGCTCTTATCGAAGTGCGGTTAAATAATGAGGTATTAAAATTATTAAGCAGCATCAAAGAATAATTCTTTACAACTTAATCGACGTTCAAGTCTACGTTCACGTTTGGCAGATTTGTTCGACAAACCTCACACATTTGCAAAAAAACACTTTTTCCGATAACATAATAAATAATGGCTTGGGAGACGGTGTCGCTATATGTTTATGCATTTCATAAATAGACGAAGTCTTGCCGATAAAAATTCTTTTCATATTTTGATATGAGTATGAGAATATGGCAGAAATGTTATCACTTTTCTCCAAAATTACAAACTTAAGATACAACGCAGGCAAGCTTGGAAAACGGTATTTCCCGAACAGCCTTTGTTGCACTTTCTTCATACACGATGTTCCTTGTGGAATCCGATATTTCTCTATTGAGTTTAACTTTAGTATATTCCAACTGGCTTTATTTTTTTACTTTTGAAGCCCTTTTTGAACAAATCAGCATAACCACAATTTTTAGATACAACTGCACACCAAATTAGAGCAGAACTAAGGTTGTTAAAATCTTACAATACTCCGAGCAGAAAGTATAAACGAACAGAGCAAAAACTCTCGAGAGGATTTAAAAATCTTGCGATTCCTCAGATAAACGCGGTAGCACAGACCTTGCTAGATTAAAATGCAAAACGCTTTGATATGTGTAGCAAATGTTCTTTTTCTGTATTATTTCGAATTCTGTTAAGGCATATTTCAATTTTAAATTCAGTGTACTGTTTAAATTGCAAACCCTCATTTAAACGATTTCTGAGAAAATTGACTTCGTTTACGCTATGGAATTGGAATTGGCTTGTTTGAGCAAAAAAATTTGATTTATTTTCGCGGTTCTGAAATTCGTTTCGGTTATTTGCAGGTGCTCCAAAAAATCTGAACAAATTTACAGTAAGAAAGTTCAGTTCAATCAGTATAAATTCACGAAAAGTCAATTAAAAGCGCGAGAAATTTTCAGAACTTGCCAATTGAACCGCTTACGTTGATGGATAAACTCTTCAAGAACAAAATTTGACATTTTTAAATTTAATCGAAATTTAATGTTAGAATGTAACCTTTTTTTAATCAGCTCAATCGGATTGCCTCATTTCAGCCCTCCTTTCGCGTTCAAGGTGCAGTAAAATAAAATGGCATGTTTTATTTAAAAATAAATCACTTTTAATCTGCACCAACTGGTTCTGGTGGCGGATATATTTTTCAGCAAATACATAATTCCCAGTCAGTAACAGAAGCTTAGGAAACGCAACACCTCAAAGGAAACATTTTTCACGGTTATTTATTACGTATTACATTCGTTTCGCTTTCAGATTTGAAAAAGGAAACAGCAGTAATTATATAATCGACCGCCCTGTCAGCTTATTGGCAATTGAAGCTGAGTGGGATTAGCATAAAGCAAAGAGTAAAAGTACTGAACTCAAAGCGTAAATAAATGAAGCGCCAATGGTATGCATCGAAACTTTCAGATCAACTTAATGATCAATTCGAAAAATGTTAATGACTTTGCTAAATTTAATGAGAGGTTCATTTCAAATTTCAAAACTAATTTTAGCGTACCCTGATAATATTTTACATAAAATAATCATTATCTATTATGACTCCGCACGATTTCCGACCTCAGAACATTCCCCAGTTTATTTACCGATAAGCAATATGCCAACTAAAGCGATAATGTTCCTAATTACTTCTTACCTCAGTTCTTGCATTTTCAAATAGGTAAAATGATAAAACAAATGGATTTCCTAGGATTTTATATCAAATGCCGATTGCACTATTTCAAGGAAAACCTTACTTTTACTTATTATGACTGAAATATTTACAGATTTTCTCAAACAAGCCACACAAATCTTAATAGGCCCGGAACGGGCGGTTGAATTCTGTAAATTCAACCTTTAAAGGCATAAATCTGGAGAGATCGATTAGAACATTAAAAACAAAAGTTCTCGTTTCAAGGGGTGCCAAAAACAGGGCCATTAAAGATGCTATTATTTGTTGGAAAGCTTGGATTCATTTACATCACAAAACATAATTTAAGACTTAAAAAGCTTTCCTTTTACTAAGTCAAGCATTTCTGCGGCTTAGGAATTGTGGAGTGTAATCAGTTTGGTGTTTTTCAAGCCATCAGCATAAATGCAATGGTTAGTTTCACCGGAAATCCAAAATAGTATTTTTGTTGTATATCTTGCAGTTAAATCCGAAGGAAAATATGTACGTTTTCCACTTTACATGCACGGACTATTCAATTCAATCACTATTTCCGATATTGAACGACTTCGGTCTTCTATCAGTCTAAAGAAAAATAGTCGAAGCTTCTTCTATCCATGTCCTTTCAATAACGTCCAGTGTGTTTTTACGACAGTCCCGTGTGTCTGTGATATACTGATAAGTCTGAGCCAATGCTTATTGACCTCTTAGACGCAGATAGGGCCCACGAAAATTCTAGAATAGCCTCGGAATGAATAGAAAAACAAGTCAGAATTTATCTAGCAGTGAAAAAGATGGTAAAGTTAACATAAGCCCATTCAGGACAGATAGTTAGTTCAGAACAGCTAGTGATGATGATGGAATTTATTGGCTTGAGATTAGCGCCCGCAAAACCACTTTACTTATTTATAAACATGTTCTGGACCAAGCTTGAACAAACACTATCAACGTTTGTGACAAAAATTAAACAAGTGCATAGTAGGCACATTTCCATGTCTGTATCGAACAAGAGAAATGAACGGAAAGCCAGCAAAATTAACGTTACAGTATTGATTAGTGTTAACGCTATCACTTCATCAATGGGGACATTATCGACCAAACATAACTCATGATGTTTGCCCACCGTTTATCATAACATTATTCCGGCCAATCACAAATTTTAATTTCTCATATTTAAACGCATTTAAACGACATTAAAGCATTCCATCTCCACTTCAATTACTCACGTTAAAATGTGATTGCACGTAAACCTTATGCATTAGAAATGCTGTAATCCGAAATGGGAAAAGAAAATTAATGGGCTGTAGGTTGCATATGCAAGTAATGATCCACAACATTCATGTATTTACATGAGTAATTTATTATTGAATTTACAACCGAAAACG